GCCGCGGGCCGCCGCCGCCGCCGCCGCCGCCGCCGCTATCCGCGGTACTGACGCCGCGAGGTGCGCCTCGTTCCTCCGGCTGGTAGCGCGCTGCTATCCGCGGTGCTGACACCGCTGCCTTCCGTTCCGCCACCGCTCGCCTGGAGGAAGCGCGCGGCTCGGATTTTTCAAAAGCCGTTCTTTATTTAGATCCCAACATCCTCGCATCTCTTCTGTACCGGAGGAGCTCTCAGGCCGTCCGTCTCCCCCTTTGCTCGCCCCAACTTGGCGCACCCTCCCTCCCGTTCCTCCCTGACACTCCCACCACCCCCCCTCGGCTCGGCGGCTCCGCGCGATGCTGCAGAAGACGCGCTGAGCCCTTTTGGATCTAATGCGCAGAGGAGGTTGGCCCACAGCTCCTGGGCTCCCCCGAGGCTGAACTCCGTCCAAGGTGCCCGCAGGCTCCCTGCCCGCCTTCCCCATGCCAGCCCGCAGCTAGGGGCAGGGGCAGCGGCGGCTGGGGTTGGGGGTGGGTGGGGAGCTTTTGGGGAGGACAGGTCGCAGCTTGGCTATGGAAGGCTCCAATGGCTTTGGGATCGACTCCATACTCTCCCACCGTGCAGGCAGCCCCGCCCTTCCCAAGGGGGACCCCTTGCTTGGGGACTGCCGCTCGCCCCTGGAGCTTAGTCCGCGGTCCGAGAGCAGCAGCGACTGCTCTTCGCCGGCCTCACCAGGAAGAGACTGTCTGGAGACGGGCGCCCCGCGGCCTGGAGGGGCGTCGGGCCCAGGTTTGGACTCTCACCTGCAGCCTGGGCAGCTCTCAGCCCCAGCCCAGTCACGCACAGTGACCTCCTCCTTTCTGATCAGGGACATCCTTGCCGACTGCAAACCACTCGCGGCCTGTGCACCCTATTCTAGCAGCGGGCAGCCGGCCGCCCCTGAGCCAGGGGGCCGTCTTGCAGCCAAGGCCGGGGAGGACTTTAGAGACAAACTGGACAAAAGTGGCAGCAACGCCTCGTCAGACTCCGAGTATAAAGGTAAGAAAATGGGAGGCGGAAACTTGGGGGCTATGCTATATTTCTAAAAACTGGCATTAAAACTTGAGTGCACACATGCGGGGACACGCACATGCTCGCTCGGGGCTCCCCCGGGGCGCAGGCTGAGCACTCGGTCTTGTCTGAACCTTTCGGCCGGCCCGTGGCTATGCCTTTCAGCAACAAAGACTCCAATGGAGAGAGTGGGGAGAGGGCTACGCTGTGCCCCAGGACAGAGTCCCCCAAAATGCACAAGGCAAACTTTCTAAAATTCACCTGGGGCTACCCTTCCAGAGGTGCTGGCGGGCAGGAGAAAGTTCCTATCCGGCCAGTGGCTAACTGAGCACAGACTTTGTGGAAACGACGGAAGTCCCAGTGGGTTCTGCTTGAACGCCCTTTTATTTTTATAAAGGTGAAAAACTAACAGGAAATTTCAGCTGGAGCCTTGAGAACAGTGAGAACGTTCCGCTCTTTAATCTGAATTTCCAGAAGGGAGGAGAAACTGGACTTTCCCTCCCACTGGGCCCAGTGAGATCTGGGCCCTGGGAATCGTAGAAAAGAAAGGTTTGCTTCAAAGTAGAAACAACAGGCAGGCGGCTGCCTGGACGCAGGTCCAGAGGTCTGGCGGAAAGGGGGAACCTGCACCCACCCAGCGGTGCTCACCGAATTTAATTCTTACGTGCACTGAGCAGTCGATGTCAGGTTGTGTGGGACCCAGAGGTTCCCAAGGAACCAACCCCCACTCCCCTCGGCCGGGGTCACCGCCCTTCGCTCCCTTTTCATCTCTGTGAAGCTTTTCGTAGCTGTTGTTCCCTTTTATCCCGTCTCAACCAGGGAACCGAGATCCGGATTAAGAGGAGAGGGAGAAGGGAGACAAGAAAGAAGGAAGAGAGGATAGAAGGAAGAAGGGAAGAAGGAAAGAAGGCGTTTCCTAGTTCTATTTCTCACCCCCCGCCGCCGCCTCGATTTCTCCCGATGCTAGCTCTTTGGCGGGGCCAGAGGCACGAAGAAGTCAGGAGGCAGCAGGGGACGCAGTGCCAGGGCTTTGCGGGGAGAGCCCAGTGGACCCATCCAGCAGGAAACGAGGGGCTGTCAGAGGCCATTCAGAGCTCGCTCTCGGCCTTATAATTAATTTCTGGAACCCTTTTCATGAGACAAAACTTCCCTATAAAGGCGACTGCTTTATTGACTTGGGGCCCTGCACCTCCTGGCCCCTATTTGTACTAAGTCTTCGCAAAAATTTAGCAAGGCTCATTTAACACTCTTCTTCTGACCAAGAATTCGTTTTGAGATATGCCCTGACCTCAAAATGAAACTCATTTGGGGCCTCGCCCCACACTTCACTGCCCTCTGCTTCCCCACGGGCCGGCCGAGCCGCCTTCAGCTTTGCTGGGCCAGTCGTGCCTGAAGAAAATGGGCAGGTGGAGCACAAGCAGCCAGGAAGCAGGTCTAGAGGCATGCGGGCCAGCCACCCCTGCTTCTGCCCCTGGGGGCTGTCGACAGAGGCAAAGGAAACTCGTCCCGGAGAAAGGCAGGCGTAGGGGAAGGGTGAGGAAAGCAACACGAATATATATTTGTAACATCGTTTTATTTCTGTAATTCTCAACAACAACACACCCCAGCTTTGTGGTCCCCGACATCGCATGCTAACTAACGTCTGGTGCTGGTGCCGGTGAGAGAGTCTGGTTCGTCAGCTTTTATTTCTTTGCCCTTAGGTGGGATTTTGAGGAGAGGTTTCGTTTAAGATAATTGGAATATCAATTTCCTTCTCCTGTCCCTGATGATATCTGATCCGGGAGGCAATGAGGGCCGGCTGTCCCCATATCGCTTAAATAGGTTTATAGCAGAGGGAGGTGCAAGGTCTCCACCCCCAGCCTTAGGCGCTGCCGCCTTTGCGCCTGCAAAGCCCCGGGCTGGGAAAGGAAGTGGGGACATCCGCGAGTCCGTGTCTGGATGTTTCTCAAACATGGAGGCAACTTTCAGAGGGCCGAGTTACGCTGGAAGTCTGGCTGAGTTACATGGAAGCCTAACCGTCTCTGCGAGGCAGACACACTGAGCCAGTCTGGGTAGGCTTCGCCCCGTCCACCTTCCACGCTAAGGAGTGTTTTCCCCAAGGAGGGCGTCCAGAGGGATGCTCAGTCCGTCCCGAGTTTCTAGTACCAAAATAATATTTAAAGAAGCAAAACTCGGCTTTGAAGTAAGGCGGTCTGCCGCCACGCTGGCTGCTGGAGCCAGCCTCCGCTGAGAAACCGAGGCGGCTCTTTGCTCCAAGCTGGCGAGTGGGTGGTACTGGAACTCTGGAGTGCTGAGGTGCGGCCTCCAGACCAGGGTTGGGGGCCCCACGGAGTGAGCCCGTTCTGCAGGCTGAGGCCGAGTGGTTTGGAAGCTGCCTCTGAAGGATCCAGCCTGCGTGAAAGAGGGAGTAGAGACAAGCACCCCCCTCTCCCTGACACCACAGCTCAAACCCCCCTCCCCACCTCAGACCTCAGTCCCCAGAAGTGAGGATTTTCACAGTTAGTCTGGGCAATGAGGTCAAAAAATATTGAGTTTCCACAATATTAAGTTTGAGGTTCGGGTGACTGTTTCCTGGCACTGAATTAAACTTTACCTGCCGGCGTAGACAGAATTCGCCCTCCCCATCCCCACACACCTCCTCTCTCGAGGGGGCCAGGCCCCTACGTGGGGAGCCCAGGTGGGCAGAGAGAGGCCTGCGGGCCTGGGGTCGGCGGGTTTCTCCCCAGCAGCCTCTCCCCGCTCAGCCGCCTCCACGCGCCGGTGCGGTGCCCTCCCGGCCTCAAACCGCTGCCTTTCCGGTTGAAAATTCTCACTCCCTCGTGGCTCAATTAACCGGATTATTGTTTCCTACAGAGAGAAATCAACTCGCATTCAGCTGAACCCTGTCACTGCAAACGCCAGGCACAATGAAACTCACCATAAAGGAAAAATAGAGAATAAGAGTGGAGAAGCCCCAGCCCCAGGCCCAGCCCCAGCCGCCAGTTTTGGGGGAGGGGGGGGTTCTCTTTGGTCATATCTTCGCTTTACGAGAAGAAGGAGGGAGATCACCGAGCTCGTTCCGTTAAGCGCGCGCTTCTGGGCAGTCAACCCCGATCCGAAAGCGGTGGAGAAAAAGCCTGTGCAGTCCGCCCCCGCTGGGGTGTCCCCACGGAGGGGCGGAAACCCACGACCGCCACGCGGAGATGGTGGGAGCCACAGTGGGCATCGGACCCACAAAGGAAATAGACCTCGGCGATGCGCGCATCGCATCGAGGGGCAAACGCGTCGCTTGTTTTTCCAAGTGCTTCGCGCTCCGAGATCCGGCGGCGCTGGGGACTCGCCCCGGGCGCGCGCCTTTCCGCGCCGCGCACCGTTGTAGCTTAAGAATCGGGCAAATCAACATTATAGATTCGCATCCATATAGGGGCCAGGCGGGATGTGGTTGTAATTATTTGTCCTTCGGGACAGCGATTCGCTCTGGTGTGAACAGCTTTCAGTCCCTCCACGCGGGTTTTTCTCCCCAGACTCCAGCCCTCAGCTTCCTCCCTCCCCGACCCTGACGCGCGGCCGGAGAATGCGGAGGCGGATGCGGAGCGCAGCCCCGCACCCCTGAGCACGCACCCGCGCGGCCCCCCACTGCAACCCCTGGGGCCCTTTCCCCGGCGCGTAGACCAGGTCGCTTCGTTTATCCCTCCCCGGAGCGCGGCGGAGAGAAAGCGGGTTGAGTGCTTTCGGCTTTGGGTTATTTCTCCCGGTGGCGTCAGTCCTCCTGGGTCTAGGGGCCCCGAGGTCCCGGCTCCCAGCGGCTTTGCTGCGGCTCCCACACACTTGAAGGTGACGGGGCCATCAACATCCGGAGCCGCGTTTACGCGACTGCGACGGGCCAGCGGCCGCTGGGACGGGAGGGCGGCCAGGCCGGGCCCTGATGCGCCACTGTGTCTCCGCAGTGAAGGAGGAGGGCGACCGCGAGATCTCCAGCTCGCGGGACAGTCCCCCGGTGCGCCTGAAAAAGCCACGCAAGGCGCGCACCGCCTTCACCGACCATCAGCTGGCGCAGCTGGAGCGCAGCTTCGAGCGGCAGAAGTACCTGAGCGTGCAGGACCGAATGGAGCTCGCCGCCTCGCTTAACCTCACCGACACGCAGGTCAAGACCTGGTACCAGAACCGCAGGTGAGGCCCGGCTGCGGGGCGGGGGCAGAAAGGGCCCCTTCTCCTTTCCTAGCTGCCCCTCCATGGGGCAAGTCAACTGCCTGATGCAAGGGGAGGACCCCTGAGCTTTCGTTATTCTATAAAAGTGGAGAAACTGAGGCACCGAGGACAGAAGGCTTTGCCCCAAATCCACGATGAGAGAGACGGGATCAGACTGGTCCCCAGGGCCCAGTCGCCCCCTCCAGGACAGGTGGACAGATGCATGGGCCAGCGGAAGCCCAAGGCCTGCCCCCCTCAGCCTGGTCCTACCACCCCCACCTTGATCAGCCCTAGCCCCAGTCTGGGGGCTGCTGACTTCTCCCAGTGGACACCCCAGGCCAGGAGAGAGTAGTGGCCTGTGTCCAGCATGTCTTTTGGGCAGGACTGGTAGGCAGCCCGGGCTGATGTAGGCCAGCCCAGGCAGCTGTGGGGGTGGAGTGTGGGGAGGGCTCTGAGCTCCCCTGGGCCCCCTCAGCCTTTCTAGTACCCAATCCCAGGAGAGAAGCGGCCCAGCCCCAGCTCCTTGGGCGCTGGGTGACTGGGAAATTGATTTTGGGAACTGGTCTTGAAACTGGTGTTTTCTAATCTCCCTCCCTAACGCATTGGCCGGACGAAGATACATATATACAAAACACACACACATACCCACACGCTCGACCCACAGTCACACACACCGACACACACACGTCAACGCAACTCACACAGTCGGACGAAGCACACACCACAGTCGCTCCCACACTTTTAGCAGAGGCCAGAATGGTGGTGTCCATAAACAAGCCTCAGAACACATCGCCCCATTAATAATAAATACCGATTACTGCTCCGGGCATCAATAATTAAGGTCCGTTACAGTAATTACACAATTATGATGATGATGAATAATTCAGGGAGGGAAACAAGGAGTTGGTGTGGCTGAGCTGGCCTCTGTGGGACCTCGGGGGGCTGGCCCAGCCTCCTCCGCCAGGTGCACTCAGGGGCCAGGGCTGCAGCTCTGGCAATGCGCTGACTTCGACTTCCATGCACTCCCCAAACCCGGCCCACGCTCTGCCCCCGGCCTCCCCAATTCTCCGCGAGACAGGCCGCAGAGCTTGCCCCAGGTCTGGGACCTGGGTGCCACACAGACGGTGTGCGCAGGACGCGTGTCTTCCCTATTTGCCATCTCTGGCTGGCCTGTGCACTGCCACAGATGCGTGCCAACTGGGCTCCCTCGGAGGTGCTGGCCTCCGCCCCACCGTTGGTGCCACTGGGAGAAAGAACCGCGCCCCCGTCCACGGCTACCCCGACCGACCCCCAACCCCCGCTGTCCTCCGCACGGCGATCTCGCCCTCCCGGGTGTGCGGATTCGCAGGGGGAGCGAGGTTAGGTTCCGGCTTTGGGGCCAGACGGCCTGGCTTACAACCTGGGCTCTATGGCTTTCCAGACCATCTGGGAAAATGGCCTGCGCCTCAGTTTTCTTATCTGTGAAATGGGGATGAACGGCCGCGGGCCGTTTAAAGGAGCCAGTGCGTGTAACACGTGAGAGCGGCGCCTGGCGCTCCGTCATTAAATTAGCGTGGTCCCCTCCGCCGCCCTGGCGGCGCGCGCCCGGGGCCGAGCTCTCCGAGCCGCAGGGGGCTCCGCGCGCCGCAGGCCTGACCCGGCCGCGTGCATTTATTTCGGTCCCTAGGACTAAATGGAAGCGACAGACGGCCGTCGGGTTGGAGCTGCTGGCGGAGGCAGGCAATTACTCGGCTCTCCAGCGGATGTTCCCGTCGCCTTACTTCTACCCGCAGAGTCTAGTTTCCAACCTGGACCCCGGCGCCGCACTGTATCTGTACCGCGGGCCCAGCGCGCCGCCGCCCGCCCTGCAGAGGCCTCTGGTGCCCCGCATCCTCATCCACGGACTCAGACGTCCTTTCCCGGGGGCCCCCTGTCCGGCTCTCCCTGGCCCCTCGGCCAGTGTCCCCCGAAGGGCCCAATGCCAAGTCTACTGAGGCCCGGACCCCGGACCGAGTCTCCCTAACCGTCGCCGGCGTCCTCTCTCCCGGCCACTCCATCTGGGGGCCACTTCCACCCGCGGATGTACATACATTACACCCCTGCTCCCGCCGGCCCTCCTAGGCGCCCGCTTGCCCCGCCCGGGAGCAGGCCGAGGCGCCCCCCATGCTGCACTGGCTCCCCCTCCCCCTCCATGCTCCAGCTGTACACCAAGCCCCTCCCCGCACCCCTGACCGGCGGAGGGGAGTGTGGAGACCCCCACTCCGAGCGCCCGGGGCCGGCGCAGAGCTGTACATACGGTGCGCAAAGTGTATATGAAGTTATTTATTTGTGACCCATGAGCCCGTGACCGTGTCCGTGAATCAGTGAGTCTGTGGCCTGTGCCCCTCCCCCTCCCAGACGGGGCAGGGAGGGGCCGAGGGGGCTTGCCCGCCCACCCCGACCCCCAGC